AATGGCACGCAGAGACGCGATTGGGGTCTCCGCGGTGGTATATTTGGCGATTTATTCAAATAAAGTGTTCATAAGTGTTGTTAGAGTCATATCTTCTTCCAAGTAAAATATAAAAATGTATAAGTATTAATTTATTTACTTCTAACAATAAGGTATAGCTGAGGCAGATACACTCTGCCTAGGCTACAAGACATTGCTATGAAAATCATTTCGATGTACACGCAATACCTACCTGTTATTTAGTTTTTCTGAGTTAAACCTACGCACCTACCTATCTATTCGCCGTTCCCATGGGCGGGCCAGCTGCTGCAGGAAAGGACAGCCGCTCCGTGCTGGAAATCTATTTAATCTTAGCCTAGAAGCTGGGTATGACTACCCCGCCCCTCTCCTCTCCCCAGGTCATAAGCTGGGCATGACTTCCCCCTCGGCCAGAAGTTGGGTATGATTTACCCCCCCCCCCCCCCCCGAAACTGGGTATGATTTGACCCCTCCCCCTCCCCCCAGGCCAGAATCTAGGTAAGGCTTGCCCCTACCCCCAGGCCATAAGCATAAGCTGGATATGACTCCCCTTCGGCCAGAAGCTGGGTATGACACCCCCCCCATGCCAGAAATGCCAGAAACTGGGTATGACTTGACCCCCCCCCCCCCCAGGCCAGAAGCTGGGTAAGGCTAGCCCCTTCCCCCAGTCCATAAGCATAAGCTAGGTATGACTCCCCCTCGGCCGGAAGCTGGGTATTACTTACCCCCTGAAGCTGGGTAAGGCTTGCCCCTCCCCCCAGGCTATAAGCTGGGTATGACTTATCCCCCCCCCCCCGGCCAGAAACTAGGTATTAGCATCATATTATGTATTATTATGTTCAATACAAACAATCATTAAGTTACACTCACCCCAACCGCGTCTCCGCATTGCATCGAATCCTATGAAAATGTGGTTTTTGGACATAGCAATACTTATTTTTCACAATTTTTATTTTTAAAAATTACTGGTCGATAGGTTACTTTATTTTGAAGAATAAATGTTATTAAAAGTTTTTTTCTAAAACTGATAGTTTAGCCGAAAAAAAAATATTTTCCATCCCAATAGTACGCCGGCTGCGCTCGATTCGGATATAATGACGTCACGCGGCCTTGCGTACGTTGACTTTTAGCGGCAAAAACGGCCTATGTTTATTACTTAATATCTTCGTAAGTAATGGTCCGATTTGGATAATTCAAAAAGATATATCTTTCTTATGTCTTAAAGATTAACGTAGATACTAGTTTTATTGAATTTTCTACAACAGTACTGATCCTCATTGGTTGTTTGGATGACTGACTATATTAGCCTGTGACCACATTTCTAACTTATTTAACCACTTTTTAAAAGCAATAAGTAAATCATCATTTCTTTTGAAAGTAACACTCTCATAAACAAAATGTTTTAATCCATCGGAATCTCTGTTTATGACCCTTCAAGGCAAATTCTCACAGCTTAGTGGCTCAAAAGGATATTCTGCGAGTTGCCGCTATTTTTTGTCCCGGAGAAATGGCTGACTAATATCTATGAACGGAGCGATGATGACAAGTTATGTAGGTCCCAAAATGTTAAAACCCTGGGCTCACGATTACGCCTACAAAAATACATAACAATAAAGCTGTGTAAATGGAATCTAACACAAAATTAAGGTCCAAACTCGATTCAAGCTTCACAGATTCTGTCTTGTGATTTTTTTCAACTGATTTGATTTGAATAAAGTTAATCTGGTGAAGGTCGCGGGAGGTGCCTGGATGCGGGCGGCGCAGGACCAGTCTTTGTGGAAAACCTTGGGGGAGGCCTTTGTCCAGCAGTGGACGTCTTTCGGCTGAAATGAACGAAAGAACGAAAGTTCATCCAATCAAATTCTTCGATATAATATTATGCTTGATATTGAATCAATATTTGAACTTCGTTCTGTAACAATAAACCTAAATATTGACATGCAACTTTATGTCATCAATAATAATGATATTTTCATAAATGTTATCATGACCGTACAAGATACAAAGATGTCTCAACAACGTTTCCCATATTATTAACGGTAGACCAGAGACGGAATCTTATCAAAGCTTTCAGCTGGTCAAAGTAGGTCATAGACTCCCAAACTTTCAAAGTAACGCAAATCATTTCTTTTTTATAATATTTTTGGTAATTATACAAATTGAGCATTGGAAATGAGTTCTCAATCTAAATATTATATAATTCAAAGGTGACTGACTAACTGACAGACTGACTGACATAGTGATCTATCAACGCACAGAGCAAACCACTGCACGGATCGGGCTGTTTGGCATGCAGGTAGATGTTATGACGTAGGCATCCGCTAAGAAAGGATTTTACGAAACTTCACCCCGAAGGCTGGTTGTCACGCGGACGGTCCGATGCGCACCCGCTCCGCACGGCCAATCTGTATGAACTTCTAGGGAGCGTTTTAGAGTAATGCGGTCCGGAGGAACCGCTCCGCTCCCTAGCAGTTCATACAGATCGGCTGTGCGGAGCGATCCATACTGACAGTCCGCGTGACACAACCAGCCTGAGGGGGTAAAACGGGATCCATGCGTAATATTCTACCTACATTATCACTTTCTTAAAAAACAATGTCAAGTGAAAATATAAGCGATCCCATATTTTGGCAAGGGATAAAACTGATTTATTTTATTTCTTCCATTAGCTTTTAAAAAGCGCTTCCACGCGTCTTAAAGAATTCCATTAATCACTTTCCTGAATTTCTGTGTAGACGCTCGTCAAAATAAACACTGGGTAACTTAATACAGTAGGGATGTTTCCTGGGTAAAAAAGCAAGAGTTTTAATTAGTCGGTTAGTTAACTTATCAAAAAATAACTGTTTGCAACTGTCCACATTGCATGCCGTGGCAGCCTTTAATTAAGACAGCACTTAGTTTTAAGCACTTTTAGTTATAGTAATTTCATGTATGCGTGTTTGTCTTGTTGGTTGTCCTAATAAATAAAATAAAATAAAATAAATAAATACTCGACACGTATTTTTCACATTTTCAAATTAATGAAAATTTAAAGCGATAAAGCGCAACAAAGTTCAAAAGAAGAGGCCCGTGACGTCAATGAGTGCTTAAAAGTGCAGCACTTCGTGACGTCGCGCGGAACTTCAAAGCACCGCACAGTATGTTATGAGACTGTATAATCGGACATTCTCATTTATTTGATGAACCGTATAGAGCTCAGTTATACAAACATGATAGTAAAACTCCCGTTTGAAAATTCCAAGTAGTTTTCGCGGTATAAAAATTCAAAGTTACCTATTTTTTTACTTCAAAATTATGCAAAAATATTCTCACTCGTTAACTAATAACATTTAATTCAGAATTGTTATAATACTTCATAGAGCTCTTAAAACTACACGTAATAAGCGTATTAAGTGCTTCGTAAACGCATTCAGTTAATTAGGAAAAATGATTTTAGTGATTTTTGTTTTTATTTTTTTTTTCTCAATTATACCTTAATATATTATTATGCAAACATTTTTAATTGCAAGATATAGTATGATATTTAATCTAATTGTATAAAAAAATCAGCTTTAAATTCCGTGATATATTTGAGGAAAATCAAATTGAATATATGCGCCATATAGAATTGTAAATTTCCCATCACTTTTTAATAGCATTATTTCTTTTGGATGTTTAAATATCATCAGCTCGATTGTACCAAACTATTGTATTGACATTCGATTTACATAGGTTTCAAATCGATGAGAAAATTATTAAAGGTAGGATAAATTCGACTTCCTAGATTTGTTTACATACTTTTTTAGTTAGTTACTTACATACAACTTAAGTTAAGAGTGTTATAAAAGAAAAAAAAACTCGACTTGAGAACCTCCTCCTTTTTTTGAAGTCAGTTAAAAATAATGTGAATGTGACTTTTTAGAACCTTCAACACTATGCACATAACAGGCGGGATTTGAAACTTTTTAGACATGAATTATTCCTTCCAAAATTGTCGACCCTAGACTCGTAAAAATTTTATTAAGACGTTTTATGTTTTTTCTCAAATATCTCACGGAGTTTAAAGCTGATTTTATTAATACAGTTACATTAAATATCAGACTATATCTTGCAATTAAAAATGTTTGCATATATTAAGGTATAATTGAGAAAAAAAATTAAAACAAAAATCACTAAAATCATTTTTCCTAATTAACTGAATGCATTTACGAAGCACTTAATACGCTTATTACGTGTAGTTTTAAGAGCTCTATGAAGTATTATAACAATTCTGAATTAAATGTTATTAGTTAACGAGTGAGAATATTTTTGCATAATTTTGAAGTAAAGTTATCAAAGTTACCTATTTGTAACTTTGAATTTTTATACCGCGAAAACTACGTGGAATTTTCAAACGGGAGTTTTACTATCATGTTTGTATAACTGAGCTCTATACGTTTCATCAAATCAATGAGAATGTCCGTTTATACAGTCCCATAACACACTGTGCACCGTAGCTTTGTAATTTGATTGACAATTAAAAATATACGTGTCCAATATTATTTTATATTAAAATTGACGTAGGTACTAAAAAATTTTTTTTAGGAAACTAGCCTGTTATAATAGGTGCGATTTTGCAACAAAACGTGCTGTCGACTGTGCATTGAATTATCAGTTTCAGTCAAAACCCTACAGACATATTTTTTGTCAGCTGATAGTTTGGTCGGGCTGTTAATCAGTATGAACATGTATGGAAGTGCGCACACCGATTTGATATCGGCCGATACTCACACAAATAATTTTTTTTTTAAAGCCGACCCAACTATCGACCGACTAAAAGTTTGTAGTCTGAGGAACATCTCTTTGTTTCATACTTTGAGAACCACTACCCTTTGTCTAAAAGGGTCTGAGAGGAGAATTCAATTTTGATGTAGTAGTTCATTGTAGAAGTACCTTATAATTTAGTACTCAAACTGTAAATAGGTTACACGATCGTGTCTAAGTTTTGGGTTTGTTCAAGCATAATGTACTTAATGTCTAATGATTTGAGAAGGAGACAAGTATACAGACCATACGTAATACGAGTCCATATATAAATAGAATTTATTGTAATGATTTCAGAACTACTAGAGATCTATATTAATTTGCTTTGAAATAGGTAGGTTTGTTTATCTTGCTAGAAATAAACAATAAAAATATTTATAGTTAGTCCTAGCCGATAGAAACTGGAAATTTTGTAATTAACATCGATATTACTTAACTACAAGATGAAACTGCCGGTTTTCCTTACATATTTCACATTGTAGGTACACACGCCCACACTGTTAACTATCCATTTCCGTTTTTGCTCTCGCTCTAATCAAATGGCGATTCTTTGCAATAGAACGACATGACATGACTTTCAATGGGCAGTTAACACTGTTGGCGATAGTACATAGAGTTTTTTTTTTATCCACAACGAGGAAGCTCTTGGCCTGTATCTCACCTGATGTTAAGTGACGATCAGGCCGAAGGTGGGAGCGAGCTTCACCCGGAATCCTCAACCACGGAGGAACTGGCTATCTTACCTCTAACTGCCGGAACACAACAATCCTGTTATCATTGTGTTATGGCGACAGACTTAGGTAAGATGGTGGTAGCTAGCCAGGCGGACTTAGAATAAGCCCTACCACCAACCAAACCGAACAGAAAAATCTGCCCCCACTGGGAATCGAACCCGGGACCTCTGCGTCTGAAGCAGGTGGTCTTACCACTAGACCACAGAGGCGGTTACACAAAGATAGTCTAGAATCTAGTCCCGTAACTCTCTATATTGTACATCTAGACTCTAAATGTACAAAATAAAGAGTTACGGGACTATTCCCACCTCTTCTTTCCACTGCTGCAACTCCTGTGTAGCCAGGAACTACAGCTTGACTGCCAATAAAAACCCAACCAGTGAAGGTCGAGTTTGTCCGACTTATCGATGCTGAATCGCGACAGAATGATGTTTGTATCGCAGCAAAAAGTCGAAATGTATAAGAGCGCTTATTATTTCCACATTATTTCTTCTAGTTTCCAACGCTGCTGATAGCAGTACTCATACAGCACGCCAGGTGTTCTCTAGTGATGGACAGCATCAGTCAGAAGGGACTTTACCTGTCCGACTACTGTCCGAAGATGAAGTACTGCGCAGAGGGGTCGCATGTAATGTGCATGTATTATAACCCGGTAAGGTACCTAGTTGTGTATTTCCCTTACGTAGCGTAGGGCGTCCACCCGGTGGACTGAAGACCTCATAAAGATAGCAGGAAGGCGCTGGATGCAGGCCGCTACCAACCGCGTAATGTGGAAATCATTGAGGGATGTTCAGCAGTAGACGTCCCGTGGCTGAAATGATGATGATGATGATGATGAAGTAGTGTAAGTTAGTAAATAAACATCTTACACAAGTTAAAAATGATAAGGTTGGCATCACAGGTTGAATCCTAGTCAAATGACATAATACACTTAAAATTGTCAAAAAGCGACTCTCCCATAAAATGTTTGGATTCACCCGCGTAAATTTCAGTCTACCACAGAAGGATAGCCTATGTCATATAAGTTTAATGTAGCTTAGTGTAAGAATTTTCCAGTTTTAGAAAGTTACAGAGTTATTAGGTCCGAGAAACAAACTTAAAAACTTTACCTCTTTAGTCCCTTTGTTCTATTTTTTATTTTTTCTTTTTGTGTCAAATAAAGTTTTTCTTATCTTATCTTATCTTATCTTTAAGCATCGCGCCATGGGCCCCCGATGTAACCGGCCGAAGAACGTGTCAATCACAACAGACTTGGCGGACAAGTTGCTGGAGGTGTCAAATGCGTACGTAAATTATTAACATCTAACGTATTTGTCAAATGCCTTAAAATTCAATTTTAAAAATTCATACCCATCATTAACCTATCTTAATATGTAAAACCCAGTCTCACTTTACCCAGCAGTAATATATTTTACCCAGCAGTGTAAAAAGAGCAAGCATTTAATAAAAAAACCGTGTTCGAAATTTTAGCTACCTATAAGCAAACGATGCAAATAGTAAGGATATGGATTAATAAGAATAAATGGTATTGTTAATACAAAAAAAAAACAGTTTTTACTCTTTTCACATTTTTTATTTTTTGAGAGCTTTTTAAATTATACCTGTGATTGATTCAAATAAATTACTAAAATTCAATTATTATAAGGCTGAACACACAGACAATACTTGTCGAATCATATTTTATCGGAGTACTAGCAGCCCGCCCCGGCTTCGCACACTTGCAATGGAATTTCCCGGCTTTTCTCTTCTATAATGCATGTTAAATACCTATAAACCTTCTTCTTGAGTCACTCGTATCTATTATAAAAACCGCATCAAAATCCGTTGCGTAGTTCTAAAGATCTAAGCATACCAGGGACAGACAGCGGAAAGCGACTTTGTTTTATACTATGTAGTGACGTCAGAGTTTTCTATGGTGACGTACATCAAACAAGCCGTGACGATGAGACCCTGTAAATCCTTATTCCCAATAATCTCGCGTCAAAGACTGTTTTGGCAACCTTACTTATGTTCCAGCTATGGCTCTAAATAATGCCACAGTACAGATGATGTAGTAGATCAATTTGTATTTATTCCACTTGATAGGTAAACACTATACAGATCCTTATATTAAAAAACCTTCGTCTACAATATGCTCTACCTTGGCTTGATGGTAAACATAAATTTTGTTCAGCAAAAATCTTGAGAAACAACTTGAAATATAATTATCTGAGACCGGCAACCCGATCGAGCTATCTGCGCATCTAGCTAAAATGCGATTATCACTCGCACTCACCCGCACCAGTAAATATAAATGAATAAGTTATCTTCATAGAAACGCACCGAGCGCGGTTTGTATGTGAGCGCGCCAATACGTATGCGGCGCGCACGCACACACTGACAAAATTTATCGTGGATTAGCTGGGAGTCAGTCGTGGTTGGGCCGAATTTTGACAGTGTGTGCGTGCTCGCCGCATACGTATTGGCGCGCTCACATACAAACCGTGCTCGGTGCGTTTCTATGAAGATAACCTACTCATTTGTATTTAGTCTGCCCGCACACCTCCCCGCGTTTACCCCGTCAGTACCAGAGCGTCGTTGTGACGTCACGGATGACAAGTGCTCATTTTCCTTGATCGGGTTATACAGAGATACATTACTTTTCCGTCTCAAACTGTGACAAATACCATCGTGTCATTGTTGTTTTGTCAAAATTACTTATGTTGCAGGGTTCGCAGCAAAATAGCCCTCGGCAAGGAGAAGGGGAAAGGGGGGGATCTGCTCCCGAAGGGATACGGGATGTTCAGGCTGGTAAGGATAGTTTTTATTTTGTTTTATGGATAGAGATGGCTTTATTTTCAGACAACAAATCTGATGCTGTTTAAATATGTCGGCATTTTTTACTTCCACACTATAGGTACGCTTAAATGTGTCTGGGCCTGAGGTACGGGAAGGGTGACATTGACATATTATGCACTAAAGTCTCGCCGACGTTTGACAGTCACAAAAACACCCTCCCGTGCCGCTCCTATACCCCAGGCACTTACTAAAGATTCAGTCAAACCAACGCGGCAACGCGATCACACGCGATAAGCAGGCGTGCAGTGATGGCGATCAAACTTAAATGCATTGATCGCCATCGCTGCACGCACGCCGGCCGATCGCGTGTGATCGCCTTGGTTTGGCCGAACCTTTAATTAAGCGCTATACCTAATATTATAAAGAGAAAAAAAACTAAAATAAGTAATATAAAGTTACACGTTATAAAGGAAAGATTTGATTGTTTGGATTGAATAGGCTCTGAAACAACAAAATTGTCTTCTGTTAAGAACTAAAATAACTAATATTATAAGCTTACACGTTATAGAGGAAAGATTTGATTGTTCGTATTGAATAGGCTCTGAAACAACAAAATTGTCTTCTGTTACTATGTACCTATTCATAGTCATAGTAATACGCCCGTATTCACAAACATTACTATGAGGTCTCACAGTGCGCTTGGACGCACAGGGTGTCACGCGAACCAATCAGAGAGCTCTATTCAACGATGTGCGTTCGATTTACTGCTTCACTTCATCATAATGCAAGCATCGTTTGTGAATACGGGCGATAGTCATTTATTCCATAAACAATAACATTATCGTATTTTATGCTGTTGATTTTCCACAAATTACCTTCATTGCCAGTGGCATTATTCTTTGTTTATCCAAACAAAATGGCGTAGTCCTGATTGCCAGAACAATTGAAGCACCTCAACGGAACAAATTGCTGGTGCAGTGTTAAATTGTTCAATTTGTGCATCAGGAATCGTTTCAAGCAAACGCTTTTATTCAGTAATAGTGTTGTGGTACTAATCTATCGATATCAGTGTTCAATGAAACTAAACTAATATGAAAATGTTAATATGATTCAGTTTTGGTAAATTATTTTGACACGTTTAAACGTAAAAATACAAGAAAGGTCGTATAAACGTCATAAAAAATATTAAATTATTTGTAGTACCACTCATGTAAGCTATTTTTTCTGCCTACATACAAATTGCCGCGCCATTGAGTCCCTAAATACAAAACATTTGTCTTCTTTTTTATATTTTCTGAAATTCTAGGAAAGTTCACGAAGAAAAAACAACTTCTGGGAACGAGAAGAAAAGCAGAACGACGAAAGCTAGTGCTGCCATAGACGCGCATTTCCTTTATCAAAACTCTTACTATAGTTTGGTCTGCAAGCACGTAGAATTTTGTCCAATGACCCCAAGCTACTCATCCTTATCGCTCGCGCGTAATTATGTTGCTGTCGCGCTTGCACACTCACTGCGGGCGCCCGTCGCACAGTCGCGACAGCAATTTAGACGTACTACCTATCTCGTAACGAAGTCTCTCTATCGATAAATTATAATACACATCACTACTGCAGTATCAGGACTAAATTATACAATTTTCGCTAGTGGAAACTCCATTTAAGGGAAAATAAATCTTCATTGAGTTGATTCACTGTTTATAGACATGCACAATTTGCACAATGCAGCATTTATTTCTGAAACAAAAGGCAAAATGTAGATTATTATTGAAATAGGTAAAGAGTAAAGATACTGCGGATCGACCGAACTGAAGGCAAATGTTTTTGATAAGACCGATCGTTTGGGGATTTGCCACAGATACGTTCTATGATCAGTAATTAATACAATTACCGGACCGGAAAACGCAGCGTGGGACGTCTACCCACAAGGTGGACCGACGACCTGATAAAGGTAGCCGCTACCAACCGTGCGATGTGGAAGTCATTGGGGGAGGCCTATGTTCAGCAGTGGACGTCCTGTGGCTGAAATGATGACGATGAATTAATACAAAAAGTGTAGAGCACGACTATGTTATTCACACATGATGCAAGCTGAACTTTGACCTGACCGCAGACCGCAGAACGCATGTGTGGCAAATGCCTTTACACCCAGAGTGAGCACCATCAATTTGTCTGGTAAGTGGTCTAGATATCCTAAATCCATAAAAAGGAATTAAGGGCTTAAAATTCCAGATGGTCTTTATGACTGCCTGTATTCGATATCCATGAGGGTAGAAGGTTTTATTATAATTTAAATAACACACATAACTTTTAAATAAGTACCTATCTTCCCGCGACCTTTACCAGATCGTCTGTCCACCTAGTAAGAGACCTACCTACGCTACGTCTTCCAGCCCGTGGTCGCCACTTGAGAACTTTTCTTCCCCAATGGCCATCGTCTCTACGAGCTATGTGTCCCGCCTACTGCCACTTGATTTTAGCAATTCTACGAGCTATGTCGGTCACTTTGGTTCTCCTGAGGATCTCCTCATTTCTGATTCGATCACGCAGGGAAACGCCGAGCATAGCCCGCTCCATCGCCCTTTGACCTTGAGCCTTCTTATGGGGCTCATATTAAGCGACCACGTTTCAGATCCACGATCTGGTAAAGGTCGCGGAAAAACCTGGATGCGGGCAGCGAGGACCGTCCATTATGGAAAGCCTTTGTTTGGAGAGGCTTTTGTCCAGCAGTGGACGTCATTTGGCTGAAACGAACGAAGTAGCTATGTAAATGTATAATGCGATGTTTACTAAGTCCCGTTGGCACCCTTTAGGTAAGGAACCGCAAAAAGTATCTATCTTCCTACTATCTTTCGATCTCCAAAATTATTTGATGATTTCCCTTTTCGCTTTGTACCTATTTGCGGCTGGCGGAAATTACCTAAGACTGAAAAAGGTTTTATTGGGAGACCTTTTTAAGACGATTCCGTTACAGTCGGAAGGGTTCAGGATAAAAGTGATATTTTTGTACGAAAATCATTTACTTATTCGAAATCTGATACCTTCTTATTCATGTTTATTCTGCGGAATCTTGTGGAATTGTCCAAGATTTACTATGTACTGGACATATTTTATAAGCAAATTACTTATTTTTGCTGCTCTTCGCGTCAACAGTTTTTAGATTAAAGTTCATAATGTAAGTTTAGTTGTGTGACCACTCCTACATTTCTCGTGAATGTCGTAAAATATAAAAGTAAGGGATAAAATTATGCGAATATAAGGCTGACTTTCAACAACCCATAGGTCATCCCATAGATCAGGCGTGGGTAGTGGTACGTAGATCCTCAATTCTCCTGTGATAAATTTAATGATTTTATTACTACCAGAAATGGGACAACGAGCTGGCAACGTTTGCTCAAGTTCTGGCCAACCAGTGCGTCCTAAGACATGACATGTGCAGAGCCACAAGTGAGCATAGCTACAGACATTAATTTATGACACAATACCTACCCAAAGATAAAAAAGTTCATGTTTTTGAAAAGAGTTTTGAGCATTTTTTTTGGAGTAAGAAACTTCCATTTTCACCTATAAAGCACTATTCTATTGATGCATTGCCTGATGTCAAAAATTGAGTTAATAAAAATTTTTAAAGACTCGTTAATAGAATAAAACTAAAAATACCTATCTGGAACCAAATCACCGTGAATATGCTATTAATATTTTTTAATCTCATCACCTAGTCATATGCGGTTTGCAGACCAAAAGTTAACTCACTTGCAAAATTTAAAGCACATAAATAAATGGGCTTAAACTAAGATGCTATTTCTAGTCAATCCTCTTTTGCTTCCACCTTCAACCTGATCATTACTTTCTAATTAGATGAGAAGCCTAGAACTTCAAGAAAGTGGCCAACCCCACTGTCAGCTTTACGCTACTCAGTGCTATCCTTAACGGGACTATTCACCTCTGCAACTCCTGCGTGGCTCTTGGTCTGCAACCCTTTTAAGTTCAAAAACAATTTTAGTGGTCTCCTTCCAGAAAGATTCGCAGACCCCGGCCAAACAGCCGGCTTAGTCCGGTTCACGTACCCCGAATGGTTCCCGGTGTCCAAGGCCGGGCACTTCACCAAGCCAGGGTTGACGGCGTCCAAGCTAGCGTACGCCATCACCCAGACCCTCAAGTCTTGGTACGGCCAGAAGGATGCGGTCACACCAGGCATGATCACGAGCTACCCTGATTGGGCTGAGTGAGTATTTTTTTTTATTTTAAACACAAAACAAGTTCTTTAATATCAAATCAATCTAAGAGCGTTTACGCGAAGCGGGGCGTTTCAAGGGGCATCATTGGAAATGATTCGCGCGCGGCGTTTTTTAATAGTTTTCAAATGTTTATAGCAAAACAATAACAATGAATTATATATCGTTTCAAAGTAAATATTTTAAAGAAGATGTTATTTTATTAGATTAAGCTATTTTTATGTTGAATTAAAGAAGAATAATGGTGTAAAAATCACTTTGATTTTTGGGTATTTCACGTTCTTTGTATTTGTGATTTCTTATTGTAAAATGCTTAAATCTAAGAATTTTCTCAACTAACTATTTGCCTAAGGACCTATGATATAGGATATAAATGTTTGTTATATCGTTTTCACAGTATTTTTATAAAAATTTCAGCTTGTAAACTGACGCTAAGGTGGAAATTTGAAAACCTATGTGGACTTATCTTGATAGAATTCTTAAATACTATACTAATCGAAATATTTTCTCAACTAACTATTTAGACGACGAAATTGTCTAATTATTTATGCCTATAATATATTTGTAATGTAACTGGTTAATGATTGTAACGGGTTGAAAAAGTACTGTTTTTGCGCCAAACGGCGTAAACGCTCTTAATCTACGTGAGTAAAATTAAAAAATTATAGGTTTAGCGCTAAAGTCAGTCAGTGCTTGAGGTATAGGAGCGGTACGGGATGTGTTTTTGTGACGGTCAAACGTCAGCGAGACTTCAGATTTGCATGCCCTGCCCTGTAACGTCATATGTATTGACATACATTTATAACAGGGAGGGGTGGCATTGGTCACCCCTCCCGTTCCGCTACCATACCTTAGGCACTGACTGATTTAAGCTAAACTACTTAATCTATACTTATAATAAATCTGTAGAGAGGTCAATTCTGTACATGAAATATATTTTCAAAATAACTATCAGGGGGTGATTAGTGATTAGTGAGCCAAAAATGCAATCAGTAAAATTTTTGTCTGTCTGTCTGTCTGTCTGTCTGTATGTTCCTTATAGAATCAAAAACTACTCGACGGATTTTAACGAAACTTGGTACAATTATTCTTCATACTCCTGGGCAGGTTATAGTATACATAGGAATTCCCACGGGAACGGGAATTAGCGGGAAAATCCTTTTGTATGAAAAATCTAAACCGCTTAAGTTAGACGCTTGAAATTTGGCATGCAGGTACCTTACTAAACTTAAAGCTTAGTTACACTAGGATATTGCAAAATTCCCACGGGATCGGGAGTTAGCGGGAAAAAACATTTGTATGAAAAAATCTAAACCGTGTAAGATAGATGAAGGGGGTAAAACGGGATCCACGCGTACGAAGTCGCGGACGGCCGCTAGTTTAATAATAAAATTAAATACCAGTAATTACGTTGTTGTGTCTTAAGTGAACCTCGATGTACTATTTATCCCATTTTGAGAAAAGTCTATCTCATTAGACTTTTTACTCCATAAATGGGATATCCAAAACCAATCATTTCAAAACTCTTTCGCTACTAAAATAAATAATTTGAATAAGTTAGCCCCATAATAAGAAAACTCTCTCAATAAATATCCAAACAAAATGTTACCTATTTCCTCGAACTATAAAATAAAGGCATTTTTTCTTCGAGATTGCTTTGAAACTTTCTCCCTGCTTTAGATTGGCTCGAGGATAGTTAGCTTTTTCAATTCAAGAATGAATTTCTCGAGAACCAATGGATTGGAGCTTATGAATTTCATTTCAATGGGCTACGTTATTATACGGGAAGAAATTTTTTTTTTATTATTTACAAGACATACGCCTGTATTTACAAACGATGCTTGCTTAAGTGAAGCAGCAAATCGAACGCACAGCGTTGAATAGAGATCTGTGATTGGTTCGTGTGTGACTCTGTGCGTCCACGCGCACTGTGAGACCTCATAGTAATGTTTGTGAATACGGGCGTGTATCGATTTTCAATTATTTACGAGACAATCTGAATGATGATGATGTTTTTCCGAAAAGAAAGGGACTAGTACCTGCCTCCGACTTTCATCATCATCATCGTTTCAGCCACAGGACGTCCACTGCTGAACAAATGGCTTCACATGATTTCCAAATTGACCGGTTGGTAGCGGCCTGCAGCGCCATCTCCTTTATGACATTGTCTGTCCACAGTGTCCACCTTCGCTTCGTTTTCTTGTACGTGGCCACTGGCCTCCGACTTTACCGATCTTATTTTACATAATAAGTAACTATTGCAAATTGAAGTTTCAATCACACCAACGCGTGCAGATCGCTATGACAGTTCACGCGACCTGTCATTTCCCTATGATCGCGCCGGTGCTGATGGCGATCTGCGCGCCTTGGTATGGTTGAAGCATAATTTAAGGGTGCGCCAAAGTTCACCTAAATTTTCAACTCCGAAAATTGGAAGTCCGAAAATGTTCTTCCTAAAATTTTTCATCCTAACAATCACAATTCCTAACTACTCTGTCTCTAATGTTCATAACTCCGAATCATTCAACTTCATAATGTCATTAGCAATAAACATCTATTATACTTTTATTTGTTCTCCTAGATTTTCTCAACATAACCATATTTTACACTATTATTCAAAGTCATATCTTTTTTGTTTAGATTTCTTTCTTTGACGATATATTAAAGTTCAAGTTTGTTGGCATTAGCACGTATACTTGAGTCCCGCTCCAGTCATTCAGTCAAGTTCCAGAAACGAATCGGTCCTATTCATAATTATTGGTTTAGGTTAGGTTAGAACTGTGGCCTTACGTTTCATTCGCGAAGAACGTACTTCTGTACGTAGTATTTATTATTATTCTATGGTATGAGTGAAAATATAATGGTAATGTTTAGGGATAAAAGTGTTATGATAAAAAACAGTAGGAGTTTAAATATATTTACATAAATGATATTATTAATAACAATTTTCGGAAACATGAGTGTTATGAATATCGCCGGTAGCACTACAAATAGTATGAATGAAAACTTTAGGATGAAAAATTTTAGGAAAAGTGATCATTCGGATTTAAAATCGGAATTAATTTCGGGTAAACAACTTTAGGTGAGCCAATATGGACCCATAATTTAAACATGTCATCTTAAGAAGTTGTAATGAGTATCCAACTATACATTTGTTTCAGGAACCCAAACAACCAAGGCGGTCGACTGTACCTGGAGATGATCTACGGTCCAGCCACGCACATGGGCTGCGGAATATCAGCCTATACGGAGTACGCGTACTACGACAATAATGCTGCTCTTAACTATAATGTGAGTAACTTAACTATAGATCTATAGTCTGGTCTGTGAGCACGTAGATTTTTGTCCAATGACCCCAAGCTACCCATCCTTATCGCTCGCGCGTAATTATATTGCTGTCGCGACTGTGCGACGGGCGCCCGCAGTGAGTGTGCGAGCGCGAAAGCAACCTAATTACGCGCGAGCTATAAGGATGGGTAGCTTGGGGTCATTGGACAAAAATCTACGTGCTCACAGACCGGGCTTTAGCGTTTAACTGAGACAGTGCTTGAGGTGTGGGAGCGGCACGGGAGAGGTGATTTTGACATAAAATATTATGACGTGACAGAGCATACGTAATCTGGAGTCTCGCTGACATACTTCCGTCAGACACAGCATATAATATTAAGGGTTTTTGTTAGTGTCCCCACGCTACTTAGTGATATAATCCTTAACATTAACGGGACTATTCCCACCGGTGTAAGTCCTGTGTAGCCAGGATCTACAGCTTGACCGCCAATAAAAAACCAACCAGGGAACGTCAAGTTTGTCCCGTGGGAAAGTTAAACTGCCATTGGACCCGCAACGAAATTAATCAGAAGAACATAGGAGTTCGAAGTTAAGATTCGACTTCCCTCCAAGAAATACTCGTAGTTATATCAGTAGAAGTTTATTTTACATGAAAGCTCCCTAATTGGTACAGACTATTTCACATGAAGCTAAACACTGGCTTATGTTACTTGTAATAGGTGCCATTTTTCAGCAAAAATGTACAACCTTATGTGCTGTTTACTCTACAAAATCAGGTGATTTAATTTGCGATTTGTAGGTGAAATTACGTACGGTTTGCTTCGTAGAATCACGAACACAAGTCGCTCCTTTCACCTTTATTGGGTCAAGGTGCGGGAAACTCGAGGAAAACGTGACAAGATGTTAGAGAAAGGGGAGGTTATTCCGAAAAACTTTATCCAAAGATTCGAATATTACCATCCCTGTCACGCAAATCGAGATGTCTGAAGAGTGTGTGTGACAAATAGATCCGAAACTACGTAAACAGCGTTTCAGAATAGCCCTGAAGTTTACAAGTTATAACGAGGGAAATGGATATGTTTTCTTCTATGGGTTTGTTACAACACAAGGACATAACCCTAGTGTCAGACATAAGCCGCCATACGCCCGTATTCACAAACATTACTATGAGGTCTCACAGTGCGCGTGGACGCACAGGGTGACACACGAACCAATCACAGAGCTCTATTCAACGCTGTGCGTTCGATTTGCTGCTTCACTCAAGCAAGCGTGGTTTGTGAATACGGGCTAAAGACATTTTCTATCCATAATAGTGAAGATCTTGGCCTATATTTCGCCTAATGGAAGGTGATGATCAAACCGAAGGTGGAAGCTTCGAATCTTCAACCACAGAGGAACTGGCTATCTTACCTCCTACTGCCGAAACACAACAATGCTCATAAAAATGTGTTGCTATGGCGAGATACTTCGCTAAAATGGTGGCAGCTAGCCGGGTGGACTACCAGCTCTACCAAAATCCAACCGACTAGATTTTTTTTCCCACGCTGGGAATTAAACCCGGGAGCTCTGGGTTGGTCTTACCAATACTTGACCACAAAAAGTGGATGTAGAATGTAACATTTTCGTATATGTTACAGGAAATGTATGAATTCTAGGAATTGTATACTATTCCTAGGAAATGTATACAATTCCGAAGCTATTTAGGAAATGTATAAAATATTGCTTCAGATATTGTTTAATACGCACATATCCTAGGACATGTATACTTTTCCTAGGATTTTTATAGAATTCCAATATTGTATTAGGAAATGTATAAAACTAAGCGGCACAAGCGCAGTCGTGTGATCGGGTGCCCCTCAGTACGCCTAAAATTTCATTTAGCCAAACCACATTGGCCGATAGGTACTTTTAACTCACAACTATTATTGTTTAGCCTGAAAGTTGTTTTCACACTATTATACTTTGGCTGAAAAAAATATTTGCCTATTGGCATACCTTTCTTTCGTCATCACGCATATTACGCTGAACTATTGGAAAACCCTAATTTTAACATCTCTTTTATTTAACTATTATTGGCATGAAGGTTTTAGTACTCCTGTAACTGGATAACAAAGTCTCGGTTAGGTTAGGTTAGACTTGCGACCTTACACATACACAGCGGCCGCGGCGCGATAGCGCCATTTAAGTTTCGGAGAAAAAAAAGAAATCTTAATTACATTTCCGATTGCTGTTTAGGAAATGTGTAAATTTCCTAGGAAATGTGTCTAATATAATTTACATCACACATTTCCGGGTGATTTTAGGACTTATACACAAATCCTAGAAATTGTATACAATGACGGATTTCATACATTTCCTGTAACATATACATATAATCATGTTTATTCAAGCCGGTTGGATTTCAGCACAATAAATGTGGAAAAATTTGATCTAGATGATTATGATTTATATGACTTTGTACTCGCAAAAATGTATTTTTTATCTGTTGTTGGGCACCCATAATAAAGCTGTAAATTTTTAAAAGATGATAATATTTATTTATTCATAGACACAGTAGTACATAATACATAGCCTTAAATGTACTTATTACATACTATTATTTATCCTCACCCTTTGTGCTGTAAGCTTTACGACGTACACTGCTGCACTTAATTACAACAAACGTATTCCATTTTGGACTCTACTCTCCTACAACAAAGTTCATAATGGAATGACAGTTGGAATTTTAAAGGCAATACTTCACAGTGAGCTATTAGTAGTTTTCAGCGAACTTTATTAGCTCTTGTACAATGTAGAGACATCGTTTGATTTTGAGTTTTGTGTCTTCGGAATAGAATTGATAGTTCAGTGAGAGATATTGTTTTGTTTAATGTCTTACTCTGCTATTTATTTGCCCAGTTTTAATCTTTATAGCAACTGAAATTACTGAAGAGCACCAATGAATATAAAACCACGTTTACATCTTTCTACTTAGGATTTCCTAAAAGGATTGAGATTAAAAATTTTATTGAGAATTACTTGAACTTTTCAGTTACTGCAAAAACTGTTATATTTTCTCAAATTATTAAATAAATAAATATATATAATTGGACATTTTACACTACGCTTCTAGTCCCAAACTAAGCAATGCTTGTACTATGAGCACTAGACAATGGATATAAACATACTTAAACACTTTTTTTTTTGTAAATACATGCATATTATACACAGTAACACCCAGACCCATCACAGAAATTAAAATTCATCATTTCAATTTCTGCCCGGCCGGGAATCGTACCCCAGACCTCTTAGCATAGTAGTCCGTTCTGAACCACTACACCAAACGGCCGACATTAAGGTTATTAGGGTCATAGAAAGTTGTTTTGAAGGATAATTTGTACAACACTACAAATTACTAATAGTCCCATTAACGCCTCGTGCTAAGTTAATAAGCACAAGCTTTTTTTAGTAACACTAGTTTAGACAATAGTGCTAGACTATTGTTGTGATGGGGTTCGAACTAAAATTCGCTGCCTGCTGCAGTCTTTCCCGAACACTATAATCCGGGCATTTTCAAGGCGAGAGTGAATAGGCACTTACAGGGCAGATATGTACCATCCTAGACTGCATCACACTTAACATCAGGTGAGATTGCAGTCAAATGCCTGCTTTTTTCTACATAAAAAAGTCAGTATATTGTACTTAAAACTTTCTTTCCTCCATAGCATAGTCTTTGCTTTGTATACAGCAAAGGCTTTACAAGACAACGTGGCATGAGATTTGCATGTGTTCAACACAAAGAGCATTTCCCTGTTGAATTTATTTATGGTATGCTCTTCCCATTGTTGTGTGGAAAAGCTTCTTAGCTTTAAACTCCCGACCTTGATGAAATAGCAGATGAATGGGGCAGATGTATGAGGTCATTATTTAAGTTTGAGCCAACTGCCAAAGCACACGATGCGTTGCGGTGGCGGTGCGACGCCGGAGCGGTGTCGCTGCGTCGTCTTAGGCCTAGTCCAGGAAGGCGAATTCGCCGCGAATCCTATTATGAAAATTCGCGCGTAATTCAATTGCGAATTCGCCCTCCTGGACACGGCCTTACATAGTAATATCTGTGGCGGGCACACGAGCGATGCGGGCGTGTCGCGTAATATGGCGAAATTTTTGCGATACGGCGCCGCAACGCATCTTGTGCTTTGGCTCTTACTTTTATACAATACTTCTAAGCTTCTAAACAAATATGTCACATTATTAATTACCTAAAATTACTTCAAACTACATAAACAAATTCCACATGTAAAATGTTGTCATTACAAAACCTTATAACTGTAAAATCTGATCTCAGGTAGAGCCAATCTTTGCATGCCCTAACTTATTTTTAATTAACTTATTTTTAATCGGTGCCTTTAAACTTCAAAAACTCTACACCTTTGTCAAAATATAGTGGCTTAGCCATTATTCATTACTACAAGAACTATTGTAAATAGGAAAGTAATGATCAGTCAGTAAATGTTTCACCTTAATTACCCCCATGTAACGATTCCGAAACCTCTGTGCCACATATTTTGACTAAGGTGTAGATAGAGTTTGTTTACTTAGAGCGTGTAGAGTTGAATCTTGGCTCTGCATATAAATCTGACAGCTTTTTACAGTACCAACATACATTATACTGTGCTTTTTTAAGTGTAGATCAAACAAAAAGGATTGATTCTACTGCTCAAATGCAACAATTTTCCCCAAGAGAAGGAAGATCTTAAAAAAAATACTTACCTATCCATACAAACTATCAACACTAATCAGCCAATTTACTATAATAATATTATGACGTCAATATTTTAGATGAATTTTTTTTCTGAAGTTATACTACATAATTTTTTTCTTTTCAGTCGATCCAAGTGATCTGCAACTACTCGTCGCGCCCCCGCAAAGGGGGCTCCGTGTACCAAACTGCCCCCCCTACGGAGGTGGGGTTCACAGTCCGCTGTGGCTGCCCCATCGGCATGGACGAAGATCCAGACTGTCTCTGCATTAAGAGCCAGAGGAACGCTATTACTGGTATGATGTTACTTATTCTGAGTTGTGCCACCCAACTTCAACCGTAACTATAACGATAACACGAGTTTGACAGATTTTTGACGTTTGTTAAAGTTAAAGTAAGATGGAGCAACCCGGCTGGGTTTATGGCCAATTTAAGGCTTTAAATCTTTGTTGTGTCACCTGTCATCCACTTTGCACTGGAGGGAAGTCGAACCTAACTTCGAACTCCTCCTATGTTCTTCTGGTTAATTTCGCTGCGGGTCCAATGACAGTTTTACTTTTCCTCTCGGTTGGGTTTTTATTGGCGGTCAAGCTGTAGATCCTGGCTACACAGGAGTGGCAACGGTGGAAACCAGAAGTGGGAATAGTCCCGTGTTGATATCATATGACATTTACTATCAAACAAGAGTGAGCGTTCCGACAGAGTAGAACGTTACAGAATACTCTTCACGTGGACGTTGTAAGAGGCTAATAAGGGAAAATTATGGGAACATCTGGTTTCCCCACCCTGTCTGACCATCGAGGGGAGTGTAGGCTGAATAATAATTTGACTCTGATAAATTGGAAATAGTAAAATTTTGGCTCTACTCGTATTTGTAGACACATCATCTTTTGATTGTTACCTGTTGTCTATGCCTTAATAAATAAATAAATACAAAACTAATAATCACAAGAAATTCTATAGTTGAAGTAACGTAACACAATTTGGTGATAGGTATTATCATCAAGAAGCGATCTGTTTCAGGCAACATTTTATTGAGATGAGATTTTATAAGATAGTATCAACTTAAAATAACCTGGCAACACACATGTATTACTAAACTAATATCCACTATCCAGAAAGGCGCCTAAGACTTGATAACAAAGACTACCCGGTTTCTATTAACCGGGTGTAGATTAGCGGTGAATCCGGGTCAGGGCTGTCATATATCCGGATCTGCGTTTCAATGTGGAATTCATTTAAAGATAAACCAGGGATTTATCTGCTTGTATACGTGTGTATCCGGGAAGATTAAAAAAAATAATACTTTATTCAATGCGAATTATCTTTAAAAAAATGTTGCTAAATGTTTTTTTAATGTGCCATGAGACTATGGGTATACTAGCTTTCGCTCGCGGCTTCACCCGCGTGAAATTCAGTTTGTCACAGATCGTCATAAATATAGCCTTTATGTTATTATGTTATTCTGAGTTATAAACAATAATAATGCAAAGTTTCATCAAAATCCGTTCCGTAGTTTTTGCGTGAAAGAGTAACAAACATCCACACAAACTTTCGCATTTCTAATATTAGTAAGATATAATTTTCATTAAACATAATGCTTACCTACACAATAGCTTGCTATACGGTTATTTGGTATTTTTTCCGATTTTGCAAAAAAAAACCGGGGCTTTTGCTGTCACATCTGGTGATTGGTAGACAGCCCTCGTCCGGGTGTCCGGGTGTCCGGATCAGTTATCGGACAGAGGCTCGGACGGGCATTAAGCTGTAATCCTATCGGAAGACCCGGTTTTCGGATGAGGAATTTTAATTTGTTTTCGGTATTTTGAGGTATTAATTGGGATGATTGACTGATTTACGATGATAATAAACTTGAATAATATACGAGTATGGAATAAAGGAACATTATAATAAGCACTCACATACCTACACAGCTTTATAGAGATAAACTTACCAATACTTTCTAATAAAATATTTATTGGTAGGTGGTTCCTTGTAGCCAGGCCTTCAAGACTATTCTCAACTCTCGTTCCCATCGCTGCAACTCCTGTGTAGCCAGGATCTACAGCTTGACCGTCAATGAAAACTCAACCAGTGAAGGTCAAGTTTGTTCCGGGGGAAAGTTAAACTGTCATTGATCCCACAACGAAATTAATCTTCTACTCGGTGGACCGACGATCTAGTGAATATTGCTCGAAGCACCTACATGACGTGGGCAGCGTAGGACCATTTTGGAAATCTTTAGAGGAGGCCTTTATCCAGCAGTGGGCAACACTAGATTGAACCGAACGATGATGATGATGATGAACGTTGTTTAAACCCACAGATCCCCCAGCTGGGCGTTCTTGTTCAGAAACCGGTCACTGTAAGCCGGCAGTTGTTCTTCTACCGATATTCACCGTGGAGAACGCGCCACCTGAGAAACTTATTGCCAGATCTGGGTAAATATTAACCTGTTTAAACACTTACTGATAAAGTCCCTGATAGACTTATTACGAGGTATTACAAAACAACGTTATTAGTTATTTATTTCTTCTTCTTCTTTCCGTGCCTCTTCCCATTATTTGAGGTTGGCCCTCCTCGTTCTCATGCGCCAGATCGCTCGATCCTGGGTTGCCTCTTCGTTCAGCTGGGCCCGTTTCAAATCCTTTGATATAGTGGACCTCCATGTAGCAAGCGGTCGTCCTCTGCCTCTCTTGCTGTCTGGTAGTGCGAGAGCTTTCTTGACGACATGATCTTCATCTCGTCTCATGACGTGTCCGTACCATCTCATGCGGGATTCTTTGATCTTGTCAGTGATGGGGGCGACCTTGTAGCTTCCTCTGATATGTTCGTTGCGCACTTTATCGAGTCTCGTTTCGACGGCCGCCCACCTCAGCATCTTCATCTCACAGGTATGGAGTTTTTGTTCATGTGATTAATGGATCGCCCAACATTCGGCACCGTACACCATAGCTGGTCTTACAGCGGTCTTGTATACCTTTCCTTTAGTTATTTATTTATTTATTTAAAATCTATATTGCACACAACATAAAAATACGAGGTACAAAAGGCGAAATACTTAGTTACTTTACAGATTTCTGAACTATCTATCTTGTTTTTATTTATTTTTTTTCTAGCAGTGTGTTTTTTAATTGTGTACTTCACTTAATCTTTTACAGGTATGAAATGTTACCATTCGATAAAAAGGAATCTGAACCGGAGATAGCAGATTTGTATGGACCTGCTGATAACGTCTCAGTTATACATCCAATGGAAAATGTACAGCAGGTAATATTAAGTTACTCTTAGAAACCACTGTAGTACGGTGTTTCCAAAATCTACAGATAGACAGCTAACTACGCACCACGCTGGAATGCGAATCCCTCCTCAACCTCCCTATGTTCGCCCCGTCCATACCAGAACGTCGATGTGACGTCACGTCCGCTAGGTGTAGTAAGTATTTTTACGAGAAACTTTCTAATAAATTAATTAATCGTTTTTATTTGTTTTCTAGACCAATATACATAGTGTGCTGAGTAACATAATAGGTGAGGGTTACTCCAAAAACGATCATCCAACGTAAGTCCTGAATTTTTAATATTTACACAAAAAATCCATTAAGTTTGCCAAGCCAAATAGTCTAAATAAATATTCGACTTTTTAAGATCTCTGGTGGCGAACTCCCATGTTATGGAAACCCAGCTACCGGTATCTGAAAAAAAATCTGTAAGATTGGGATATAACCGTATTACTAAGGTATGTTTGATTTTATCAGTACAGTATGGAATAGTTAAAACAATGTAATACCATACACACTAATGAAGTGAATAATATGGTATTTTAGACCGTACTAAATAAGAGTAAGAGAGCGCATAATATTAACCACATTATGACGCGCGTTTCGAATCGCGCGATTGTGAGATGCTAGATGTTTGTACATGCGGCAACAGCATTCTGAAAACGGTGGCTGACAGATACACATCACCTATATGGAGATGTTGGATGCGGAGTGTGATTATGTGAGAAGACACTTCTGGCATAGTCACACTTGGCGGGTTTCAAAATACCTACACTTATTAGAAAACCAAACACTTTACTAACATTACTTTTAAGATTATAAATTGTATCCTACTAACTACTATGAACTGTAAAATTGTTTGAAATAAACGTCATTATCATACATTCTGTCCATTTTCATTAGGCAAAACCTCAGATCATAGAAGGGAATAGATGTGAAACGGGGGCGTGGCGCGTGTCTCCGCGATATGCCCAGAAACGAACATCGGCCGCGTAGCTAGGTTAGTCGCGATTCAGTCGTACTAAGGAAATGTTCTCCGATATTTTGGATAATGCGTCGTTACGTGCAATAAAATAAGTGAAACGAAGAACTACAGGAACAATGGAGTCATTGACTACATGTAAGTATTACAAATCCATTGGTATTTTGCTTATAAATAAAAAAAACTAAACATTTTTACGAACGAATTCAGTGCCGTAACAGTTACTGCGATATCGAAATCAGTGGTGATAAAAATTCTAACACACTTGTACATTGACCATTTAGTTAGCAACCACTTTATGTCATGGTCAACTACCGCGCAATGTATTTAATTTCTTCCGATATCCACTGTCGTGTGAAAATACACAGTACGGCCGCATGTGCCGGTCGTAACATAGTGCCGTGCTCGTGTTCTAATGCGGTTTCCTATTATCGATAAATAGAAGTAAATTATAATTTTCTATTTTGTAATTTTAAATAAAAAAATGATGTGTTACTTGCGATTATAAGATTTTACAAAAAAAAAATAACAGTAGAAGTAATTAGTAACTGTCAACTATGTAATTACTATAAGAGCTAGTTGAAAGCCTAATATAGGCATTATTTTTGATAAACATATGCGGTACGCAGATCGCCATAATTAAAAAGTAAATGCGTGATAGTAGTTAATAATAACGTATAATAATAAAAAGGTTTTCATACATAAGCATTTTGTGAAACCAGTTTCGAGCCTTGCCCCTAGCGATTTAAAGTATCGATATCTTGTCGACTCCATTTTATCTTTGTTCTCTCACTAGCGTTTTCTATGTGTGCGTCACGTCACGCGGCCATTGATTGGCCATAAGGCATGCCTTCTGGCCAATCACAGCACTTTTAAGCCGGTTGCACATGTTGTCGTAGACTCTCAGTCGCTTTGTTTTTACACAGTTGAATGTGTGTGTGGGAGCTGTGGTGGGGGAAATGTGGGGACACTGGTTCTCGTTGTAGTTACGCGCGACTTCATATCTATTCTCTTTCTATGATCTGAGGGCAAAACGCACGACTGCATGCATAGGAAAAACGCGCGACTGCATGTAGCCAGAACGTATGAACCTCAAGAGTCTAGACAATCGCGTCATTCGAAATGTGCAAGTAAAAACGCGTCATATAGACCATCTCTCACTTTAAATTACAATAAATCAAACTGAATTGAACAAAACTGTTGCACTTTAAAACAAAAGACGGTTCAAGAAACAACAATTTATCACCCTACAAATAGATTAGCCTGGAGCTCGGTGATCCACTTGGAATCGATTCCAATAAAGAGTTTATCCGATACTTGAAAGTTTATCCTTCCAATTACAGTTTATTTTGTTAAATTATCGCTACAGGGTCTTTGCAGTTAGTGTCCATCCTTAGAATAATTGCTTGCAGTAACTGTCGTGATAATTATCGAGGAATAAATGACTCTATCAATCGATCAACGAGGAAAGCATTAGGGGAGGCCTATGTTAAGCAGTGGACGTCCTATGGCTGACATGATGATGATGATGATGATGATGATGAATGACTCTATGACCATGCATTTTTCTGCTAAATAAATAAAATTAAAAAATATGAGAGAAGCTTTTGGGATGTGTATAAGCGCCCTGGAAAGGAACTAACTCCCGTATTTACTAAAATATTAATATGCTTGTTTAAGTAAAGCAGCAAATCGAACGCACAACGTTGAATAGAGCTCTATGATTTCGTGTGTCACCCTGTGCGTCCACGCGCACTGTGAGACCTCANATTACTTTGGTACGTCACTTTGTATTAGAAATTACACCTATCACTTACAAATACACTACAAATTAAAAACAAAAACAAGAAATAAATTATAAATGTTTGATTAGGCTGGAATACTTCACATTCATTATAATATTATCGCCAAAATGTTGCCGACTCCACGCCCGGCGCGTCAAAATGTGTCGCGCGAGCGCGAACGCGCTGCCCCCGTGTATACTCGTGCGCCATCGGGCTCCGACTAACGGTTAGTCGCGTTTTTCGATCTTGGGCACTATTGGGTGAAAGAGAGAGAAACACTCTATTTTTTCGTGTAAATTTGAAATTTGTACAATGTTTACTTACGAAACTGTGATCTTTTAATTTTGCGTCCTACCGGAAGTACTTTAAGTCCTGCTGGCAGGACTCCGGGCGATCTATCATTAAACCCCCCTCTCCCCGCCGGCTCAAGGGCTAAGGGCGGGGACTTTTGCTATGTTCACCTCCTAACTAGTCTAAATAAAGTCCTGAAGTCAGAAATTGTGTTCTACAGTTTTCCATCTATAATGCTTTATTGACTGGACTACATAGTAATATTTGTGAATACGGGCGTTAATCTTTGTTATTTAGTCCATCCATCTTTTATTTTAGGCACCAGATAGCGTGATTAGCAATCTTGTCAACGAGGTCAGGCGTAATGTGGATTTCCCAGTGTAAGAACCCTTAAATAAAGCCTTTATGAACTAAATACTTACAGAAAAATATCTTCTCTAATATGCAATTTTTTGAATACTTACAAGCTCTTACTTCAGTTAATATAAGATGACTCTCTACTCTCTACTCAACTTACCTAAATAAGGCCCGAATCGACCAAACTTTTATCCTAGAATAACTTATGATATAACTGGCACATTGACAGTTTCTGTATGGGAAATATGTCAAAATGTCGAATAGCTAACGATTTGTTCTGAGATTAATATTTATTTACTCTTCATTGGTCGAATCCACCCTTAAAAGTGTATCTTGCATTGACAACATTTGCTTACCTTAAAAAATTTTGTTTTAACCTTGATCTGTTTGAAATTACCCGAAAATTAATTTCGTTTTTCTTAATTTTAGCTCCACACCTCATAGCAGGCCAATAATGCACGATGTGCAAAAACGACTCTTTGGGAAACATTTATCACCTTTGAGGTACCACAACGCAAAATCCGTTCGTCCTACATTCAATCACATTCTACCTAGAGTAAGTAAAATACAAAAAGTGTAATCGAAAACAGGTTCAAAAAGATAATAATTATAATTATAGATCGCGCAGCAAGAGTTGAGGCATTAACACGAGCAAAGATTTGTACCTATCTGTATACGCTTATTATATGGCACAGACGTCTTGTATATTCTGAGTAGTTTGAGTTGTGAATTTAAATATTAAATCAGTGTGAATAAGTCTTTGCCTCAACTTTCGTCGCGCGACCTAGAACTGTATGTGTACCTTATTTTTTGATTGCAGAAAAAAAGTGTATTTTCAAAAGTAGCAACGTTTGCTCTGCCCAAAACAGAAGAATCTGTAATCAAACAAGATGTCGCACCACGAAAAGACTTCTCCGATGTCAAAAATCTTGCACAAGACTATTTAAGTTTCAAGAAAGTTTTAAAAGGAAACTCTAAGAGGAGTTCAAGTTACCATCCATTTGAACATTACGGAGAAACTTCTATCCTTAAAACAACTACGGAAAGATTCCTTCATTCAGCTGAAGAAAAAGTAATTAACTTCAACTACTACTTAAGAAACTATTCGCAACCTAATAGAAAATCAGACAAGATGTTTTCCGATATTGAGAGCAACTTTCCTAGAGAAACACCCAATGATAAACTTATGACTCTATTAGATACTTTGGAACAAGAAGTGAAACATATAGAGCTTGATAGAAGTAAGAAAGAAATATTTGACGCTAAAATCCGGAGGATCTATGGGACAATCGTCGGTAAGACTGGAGAAATGTCATACAAAAGTGATAGAGAATCCGATTTCACTGATACAGAACAAACTGACAAACATTCTGATTCAGAAGGTAAAATTAATAAATTTAAACACCACGATGAAGTTGAAGAATTAGTCAAAAATGTCGAAAATATACACGATAAGTATAGCGACTTTGATAACGAAATACGACCGATATCTAGAAGCCAAAACTCCCTTTATGTTGATAAAGTTAATAGTTTAGATCATAGAAATGTCAAAAAAGCTAAGGAAGGCTATGAATCGGACATGAAATACCCTTTTAGTGAAACTGAAAATTTAAAATCAAGAATAGATAAAAGTAGATACAGCGATGGAAATCCAATAAAAAGTAGAATAAGTACATTTAACGATATTGATAAGGAAGTACTGAGAACTAGGAATGTTTACTCTGATAATGAAATTAAGAAGACAAAATATCCAGAGAAGAGAAAGTTCCGTGAAAACGGTGATCTTTTAGGTGTTGATAGAAGAAGGTTTTATCAAAGTAAACTGGAGAACTTAGAGAGAAAACTTCATAATACTAGAAGTTTCAAACATCACAAAGACGTAAGTAAGCGAATTTGATCCATTTTGTATTCAGCTAATATAATTAAGCTATATTATAGGTACTTAGTTGTACTAGCTGCCTTATTGCAACAAAGTATGTAGGTATTAAAGTAAATGATTACCTTGATAAATTGAAAAGGTGAGTTTTCAAAAGACAGAGGAATTATAAAACATTTATGTTAGAGTCAATTTTTTGAAGTCAAAATTTTGAGCACATAAACAGTTTCAAAGTAAATATTTTAGTACTATAATTTATCCAGAACAAGGCAGGTATTTGACCGTAATCGCACCTGATGTAAGTGAGATGCTGTCTAAGATGGTACTCTGTACCCTGCCCTGTAAGAGCTTATTCACCCTCGCCTTGAAATGCTGACGAATATTAAACTTTTTCTTCAGAACAACAACCGCCAAATCCGTCCAGTGCTGCCAACAGCGCGAGAAGAACAACCACTGCGACCGAGCAAGAACCAACTGGATCCTTTCTACATGCCTGACAGAGCTAGATTTTTACATGGATTTTAGTAAAATACAACCCGTTTGTTAGATGCATTTTCCAATATTTTTATTTTCTTGTATAAAAAATTCGCCTTTTTTCTCTGTATTTCTTTTTAAAGCACGCAAAATTTTGTAATCGTTCATTTTACTTGGGGAAAACTTCTTATTCGTTTGTTGTGACCTTGTTTGCAATTTTATATAGAATCTTTTTCGGAATCGGAAATGTTTTTATACAAGAAAATAAAAATATTGGAAAATGCATGTAACAAATCGCCATATAGCGTCGATGTGACGTCATGGCTGCCAGGTTCGTACCTAGTTAATTTGACTGAGTTGTAGTTCTTTGTATGACTTTGAAAGACTACCATAAGTCATGTTGTTGTGTCAACAAAATTGTTGCAGCAGTTTTAATTAATACGTTTTCACTCTTTAACCGCTGATTAAAATGAAATAGTGTGGTATTTTCGTAATTTGAAGTACTTACTGCTATCTAGCGAGGAAATGCAGCCAGCATCCTCGCCTCTTTGCCTCGCGGACACACTTTTATTTTTGAGTAATAAATAAGTTTATGTTTTATGTTTATAGTTAAGTTTGCGTTAGTTGTAAAAATATCTGTAGTAAATAAAGATTTTTACATTAGGAGTAAGTATATAGTTAGTAAATATTACATTTGTGAAGAAGTCTTCGAATTTAATATAGTGGGTATTACTGCGTAAGAAATGTATTTTAAATCCCTAGTCTAATAACACCAATAACAAACAGGTCACATTGTACATACTCATAGTACATAATAAAGTCACATGTATACCTAATAAAAAAACAGTTGTAATTCATGAAACAATGTTATTTTTATAACTTAGGTATTATTTAGTCACATAGGTACGAAATTAGACAATAAAACATTATGTAAATACTTAATGGCTTTTTATTTATCTTTGCCTTCATTCAACGTGAAAAACATAAAGTAGGTAATGATAATAGACAAATAAGAGTAAAAAATACCTAATGTAAATAGGTAAGTGATTTATTATTTATCCTTACCTTCATTTCAACGTCCAATAAAGTTGGCTTGAGCTTTATTAAATAACAAACAAATAAAAAGCTCTGAAAGGTGAGTCCTCTCAACAATTCCTTTGCATTTTTAAAGCTAAATAAAGCTTTATAAAAGCACAGTTTGATTTATAATAGACTTGTCGTGAAACAGGATAAGTTTTTGAACTCAAAGTTTCTGCCCCGATAGTTTCTTAATAAATAAAATGGAGATCATTCATAAAAATTGGGTTTCTAGAAAGATTAGGTATAATATTGTTAACCTCGAGTGTTTTGGATATTCTTGCAATAACAAATTCAAAGAGCTAAGAATGCTTTTACGAGTATACGTCTTATTTTAAATTTGAATATAATATAATAATACGCTAAAAATGGTTCGGGCGTTATTGTAGAGCACAAAGAAAGCTACAAAAAGTGTCCTACAAAAATTTTCGAATCTCATCGGATAGCCGAGTTATTGCCGAAAAACAAATTTTAAGCGTTTTCCAAGATGGCGGCGAAAGCTCCTAGGAAAGCTTGGTCGACAATCTCAAGTTAAGCTTTTCTAGGTATCCCCTACAACATATTAAAAAATTAGAAGCGCAAATTCATTTTCTTTTATTTGCCTTTTTTTCGGACGAAATGACTGGACTATAATGTTTCTGAAAGTACCTAAGTAAAACCTTGTATCAATATTGTTATATTCTTTCTTCCTACTTTTTTTCATAAATAAGGTCATTTATAATACATTAAATTCAGATATTTAATGCCCTTATAGGCAGTAGATCCAAAATTATTTCATTTTCAATAATTCATGAATTTTTCTGACATAGGTGACTTAGTTTCTTCCGCCACTTCTTCTCAACACCAGCCCATATTGTCCCGGGGCAGGGCAAGTTATTTGGGACGTGTACAAGCGCCCTGGATAGGGCCTAAGTACTGAATAAAAAAACTTTGCCTTCCATCATATCCAAAAGAAATAATTTGATACAAGTAATGTATTTTGACGTGGCCTCTCACTATAGGCCTTATACAGAAGCTCAAAGTTGCACAGCGTGCTATGGAGAGGGCTATGCTCGGTGTTTCTTTACGAGACCGAATCAGAAATGAGGAAATCCGTAAACGAACTAAAGTCGCTGACATAGCCCGATGGATTAGCAAGCTGAAGTGGCAACGGGCAGGGCACATAGTAAGAACTGACGGCCGATGGGGCAGCAAGGTTCTGGAGTGGAGGCCGCGTACCGGAAAACGCAGGTGGACCGACTACATAATAAAGGTAGCAGGAAGGCGCTGAACGCAGACCGCTACCAACCGGGCAACATGGAAAGCATCAGCAGTGGACGTCCTATGGCTGAGATGATGATGATGATGATAATGAATGTAAGTATTTTGAAATAGGCAAAAACTTCAACGAGCTTCATTTGCAAGTGCAAACATTCAATTAACGGCTCTAAACTCACAAATGCTAAACGTCATCCAATCTAACAATAAACACTAACAGTGGAACCAAATTATCGCGGACAAAACAATCTTGTTATGTCAACAAACCACCCCGTTTAGTTTTCCATTTTGGGCTTGCAGCGAACAATTGGGTCGACGAAGCGATCGCACGAGGAAAATGAATTTCTTTTTCAATTTTGCAATCGTTTTGTGTATTGCTTTGGTTAAAGCCAAACATTTGCACATTAAAGAGGTGAGAAAGAGTATAACAATACAGCACATCGGTTTTTTAGAGTCTCTGCAGACTACAAACTTTTTTCGACTGATAGTTTTAAGGAAATTATGCACATTACAGCGATATCATATCGGCTGACTCCTCATACTCATCAAAAGTCGAACAAAATTATCGGTTGATGAAAATTCTGTAGTCTACGAAGACTCTTATAATGAAGATTTTCCTGAATTGATTTTGAACTTAGATGAAAATATCAAAATAGCGTGTAGCACTGATGAATTTGTTATATTGCAGAGTTACACGGAAAAATCTGAGGCTGTGCAATTTCAAGACCTTTTTAATTACGATGACAACGTTTACACAGAAAAAGACAGAGTGAGTAATTGTTCAATTTCCTACCAATGATTTGAATTGAGGAATTAAGTGACACGGCTTATGCCGAATTTACCGAAGCGAAGAGGAAAGGCAGAAACGTAGCGAAAGTGTGATAACCAATCTGCTGCTAAATAAAGTGGAAAATTCGATCGAGTTAACTGCACATCTGGCAGCCGTGACGTCACATTGACGCTATACACTATGGTATGGACGGGGCGAAAGCGGGGAGGTATGCTAGTGAGTCCAATTCCAGCGAGGTGCGCAGTTAGCTCGATCGCGTTGTTAGGTCCGTATTCACAAACGATACTTGCTTAAGTGAAGCAGCAAATCGAACGCACAGCGTTGAATAGAGCTCTGTGATTGGTTCGTATGTCACCCTGTGCGTCCACGCGCACTGTGAGACCTCAAAGTAATGTTTGTGAATACGGGCGTGAATGTGTCAAGAACGACGAGGCAACTTCGTTATCTATGAGTGCCTTATCCCCGTTTTCACCATCAATCCCTAATTTTTAAGTGAGCCCTATGATAACAAAATTAATATTATGTGTTACCATAGGGGTCACTTAAAAATTAGGGATTGATGGTGAAAACGGGCATTAGGAACTTAAAGGTGTACGTTAAATTATCTCTACCATTATCATCTATGATCTAGGTGTCTCTTTGCTGGATAAACCTGGGTAGTCAGGCCATAACAATAGTTTTGAAAGAGCCCTTGGCAAGTAAATACACTGACAATAACTTGATGTATCATTTCAGTACGCAAGACACGTGGAGCTAGTGACAGAGAGTGTCCTGGAGCACCTACTTAAAGAAATAAACAACAAATACCCAAAATCATCAAACGACACTCAAAATGACATGCCAAAGATGATGCAGAGGCTAAAAATGAAGTTAAAGAGGCATCTGAACAAGAGGAAGAATAAGAAACTGAAGAAGAAATACTCCAAATTGAATTCCACGAAAGCAAGTCTTAATGAGTTTACAACGACATCCCCTTAGTTGTAAAGATTGAATTAAATATAATATTTTAGTTCCCACTGCTTGAGTTTCTTTGTGTAACATGTACCTACCTAATAATATTATTATTATAATCATTAGATACGCCATGAACTCTTAGCTTCAAAATCGTCTAATACCTATATTATCTGTTCTGTGCTAATACTGTCTCATGAATACCTATAACTCAATATTATGTTCAATGATTAAAGTGACAAACTTAAGAACAATTTTTCTAAAAAAATCTGGATATTAGATTGTAAATTATCATTGCCTATTTAACATTGTATTCTAGATATTAATAAGAAAATGTGACTCTCTGCTTGGATATTCTGATTACTAGATGGAATCATGTAGTAGTAGAAAGAATTAAAAAGAAAGATTAAAACAATTGTTCGTTTAATCGTTCATTTTAATGTGAACAATAATATCGAATGGTTTTCTTTTCTTTTGCTTCTCCATTGATTCTGATACGTTCGAATCGTTAATATCGTTGTTTATTAAATCGCTTTTGATAAACTTCATTCTGTGCCCTTTTGATCTGTGCCTCTTCTTCTTCTTAACAACACCACGCTCGTTATTCCTTCTATTATCATCAACTTCTTGAAACTTCTTTGCAACCTTCTTCACAATTTTCTTTCTTCTCTTCTTGTTCCATTTTCTTCTCTGAGAGTTAAATAAGTCATCGGTCTCTATATGCCTGTTGACCAGGTTCTCATTTATAGGACTGGCCTGGAATGCTTTTAAATTCTGGAAAAAAAAAACAAATTATGGTAAATTAAATGTTATAAAACGTAACTAAGGACTGGTCCAGACACTCGCGACAACCACGGTTTCTAAATCGTTCTGATTAGTGAGGCACTGAGTCGGTAACTGTGCGGTTACGGTTTGATGCAAATGTACTAGAACTGCTCAGCAACCGCGCGATTATCGTTACTGTCTGAACCATACCTAAGAAAGAAAATAATGCCAACAGAGCTCCCCAATCCTAGCCAGCATGGAGAATGTAGACCCAATCGTAAATTAGATAGGATCGTCAGCCTGTGCAGTGGAAATTTAATGAACTGATGTTGATGATGACATTAAAAGAAATCAATAATTGCATTGTATTTTGCACGGCTCTAGGCATACATTATATATATGTTATAGTCAAACCTCGAAGTTCCGGCACACCTAGGTTTGACTAGTCAATCCTCAGGTCTGACTAGAAGTCTTAGTCAAAGCCCAAACATTTCGGCCTTTGACTAAAGAATGTCAGTCAAACCTAGGAGTAACTAATTTGGTTAGGCAAACGTCGAAACTCAATTTAATGAAATCGGGGTTTGACTAGTCAAACCTCAATTAAGACTTTAAACTAAACTATACTTTATTCTGATCTCGAATTTATTGCAAAGGCGTTACGGTCGGTTCTTTAGGTGAAGGTACGAAAAACTAAAACTATTTACTGAGGTTGTTTGTCAGTGTTTCTAGACCGATCTTGAAATTACTAATTTTTAGGGTTCTGTTACCTTAAATTTGAAGGTAACAGAAGGTCCTTTATTAAGGCTTAAAGGATAAAGAGTTAAAACGGGACCCTATTACTATGACTTCGCTAAATTTTGTCTGTCACCAGGCTCGTATCTCATGAATCATTTTCAAAAGATTTAGTTTTTTATTCGCTTTAAAAATAAATCAATCAATAAAATACATAAATATTTAAGGGAGGCTCCTATACAGCAAACTTTTTGCAGTTTTTTGCTCGAATTTAAATTAAAACGTAAACAGGTGAACCCTTGAAATATTCACATATTATCTACTTTAAAAATAAATCATAAAATTAAAATAAAAGAAATATTAAAAGGGGGGCTCCCATACAAGAACAGAGTCGCACGGAACCCTTCGTAAGCGAATCCGACTCGCACTTGGCCGGTTTTCTATTTGCTGTTTACTTCTGACCGAGTCTGCCAGTCGTTTCTAGGATTGACTAGGCAAAGCCCGAAGCAGATTATTTTAGTTTCGACGTTTGACTGAACAGTTTAGGCACTTCTAGGTTTGACTTAGTCAAAGGCCGAAATCAGAAATCACTTCGGGGTTTGCCTGAAGGCCTTGGTCAAACCTAGGATAAGCCAGTCATTCCGCGAAGAGACTGCATATCGACCTTTGACTATGACATAGGCATAAGATTAGCAAGCTGAAGTGGCAATGGGCAGGGCACATAGTACGCAGAACTGACGGCCGATGGGGCAGCAAGTTCTGGAGTGGAGGCCGCGAACCGGAAAACGCAGCGTGGTATGTCAACCCACATCATAAAGGTGGTAGGAAAGCACTGGACGCAGGCCGCTACCAACCGGATAACATGGAAAGCATTGGGGGAGGCCTATGTTCAGCAGTGGACGTCCTATGGCTGAGATGATGATGATGATGATGATAGGCATACATAATATGCTGTCATGTCATAATCTGTCAATGTCACCCCTCTCGTTACGCGCTCATACCTCAGGCGTCGAGTTAAGCGTTAGGCCTATTTCGTTTCAGCCAAATGTCGTCCACTGCTGGAGAAAGGCCTCCCCTAAGGTTTTCCACAATGACCGGTCCTGCGCATAATGAAAAATTATATTTTATTTATTCTACTTTCATACCGGCACAACGAATCCTTCTACACTGTTGAACCAGCCTGGCACTGGTATGACCTCTTTTGGTCTGGCCTCCACCTGGAATGAAATCAAATCAAAAACATTTATTTTTTAGAAAGTAATAACGTGGAAAGGAGATAAATATCTAAAACAGTAGGTATAAACTTTTAACACTGAATTCAATTCTAGCTTCAACCTGTGCTTCAACATTAAGAAAAAATATTTTAACAACCGAATTGAGTCCTCCTTTTAAGTCAGTTAAAAAGAGTCATCATGATGTGAAAGCAGCTTAGAATTAGTTTTTCTTTCTCGTTATTCCACTTTAGGGAACCTGCTAAAAATTTTTGTACACATAGTGATAGAATGCATAAACAAGAAATATTGATCAATACCACCCAGATAATGTAATGTTAATTGAAATATAAAGCTCTAAGCCAGGAAAAAATAACGCCTATCCCATCTTTGGGGATTTTTCTTTCAATTAGACCTCAGACGTAGGATTCCACATATCCTCTCTCTCAATAATGGATTTTCTTCTGCTACTAGCGTAACTATACGGATAACTGTCTCAGTCAGTTCAACAGTATTAAAACTAATTCTTCCTGGACTACGAGTATTTACATAGTTTAATGAATCTAAAAGTCAGAGCCAAATCACACGGTGCGTTGCGGGCGGTGCGACGCCGGAGCGGTGTTGCTGCGTCATCTTACAAACAGCCCGTTCGAGCGTACCTGGCAGCAGTGACGTCACGTCGACGCTCTGGTATGGAACTGGGCGAACGCGATGAGATGTGCGGATAAGTGCGAGGGAGAGTCGCATTCCAGCGAAGTGCGCAATTAGCTCTATCTATACTCGCGAGCAAAAGTATGGAATCACTTACATGAAGTTGTTTCCACGCGATCTTGTGTACTAACGAATTTGTTAGTAACAATAAAAGTGCCACCATTTTAAAGATTAAACTTTTAACTTTAAATTGATACCAAATTCATTTCAATCACACCGGTATTTAATAAGATATCCCGGCTGATGTGAAGAAGTAGGTAAGGAAAAAGACATGTATCAACTGTTTGATGATGTTTGTGATAGTACACAAAATCGCGTGGAAACAACTTCATGTAAGTGATTGCATACTTTTGCTCGCGAGTGTAGATGCAAAAATCTGTGGCGGGCACAAGAGTGGTGCGGCGCCACGTCGCGCGATTCGGCGGAATTTTTGCGGTGCGGCGCCGCAACGTATCGTGTGCTATGGCTCTCAGAGCGGAAAACTTTTTACCGACGAGGATTCCGCGGCGAGCTAATGGGTTCGTTAATTGAGTTGCGAACTGTCGTGGAAAAGCTTAAGCTTATGACTTGTTTCTAGAGCCCGAAAATTGTAGCCCATGGACACTTAATTTAGATCATCATCATCATCATTTCAGCCACAGGACGTCCACTGCTGAACATAGGCCTCCATATCCCACGGTTGGTAGCGGCCTGCATCCAGCGCCTTCCTGCTACCTTTATCAGGTCGTCGGTCCACCTTGTGGGTGTACGTCCCACGCTGCGTTTTCCGGTACCTACGCGGCCTCCATTCCAGAACCTTGCTGCCCCATCGGCCGTCAGTTCTGCGTACTATGTGCCCTGCCCACTGCCACTTCAGCTTGCTAATCCGTCGGGCTATGTCAGCGACTTTAGTTCGTTTACGGATCTCTTCCTTTCTGATTCGATCTCGTGAAGAAACACCGAGCATAGCCCTCTCCATAGCACGCTGTGCAACTTTGAGCCTATAGTGAGACTAATTTAGATATTAAAATTTCTGCAATATTTCTTGGAGATTTTACTCGTTGGAAATACGTTCCTAAACTAAAAGTAAAAAAAACTTTTTGCAATACTTTCACTGGTCAGTAATGTATCAAAACAGAACGCTTGATCTTTTGACACAATTTAAATATCCGCATAAATATATCAATGAACTCCTACACAAAATTCTCTAATATTTTATAAATCTTTAAAATAATTAACAACCCTCCCGATAAGGTGCCATGGAGATAGAAAGGTACAGTCACGGAATGAAAAGGTTCGTCAGTTTTTCGTCGTTTTACGAATCGCGAGCACATATTACCTTTTGAAACTATGTTACAGAATAATCTCGAGTTAGAGAAAATAATCTTTAACTGTTCGTCAGTAAAGTTCAAAATTATTCAGATCAAAGTCGTTTGACGATTTATCTTGTCAAGAAGATTATTATGATGGATAAACTAAAACCTTCTTGTTAGTTCAACCTGCCATTATTATTTCAATTGGTCAATGTCATCATTGCATTGCACTGATGGTATAGAAAAATAAACAAGCAAAACCTTATTCGTTAGCAAACGTCATATTTATTATTAAATGTTAGCAGCACTGTTTCTT